TGAACCAAGGAGGCCCTTGGCCTGACGGGTTGACCCAGCGGCTGCAACAAGGGCCTCACGCCGACGCATAGTTGTGAGGATGCACACACCTGTGCAGGTGTCCTTGTGTTGCGCAGAGCGTCCCCGTGGGTCAGCGCTGACTCACTGACACCCAATAGTAACAGCGTCTGCCGTGATCGAATTCACAATGAGCTCCGTGAGGTAACAGGGCTATAGATGATAGAGCAAACCCAAATCTGTTTGCCTAGGGGCCTCCTAGATTACGCCTCACTGAATTCCTTGGGATCAGTAAACAGGAACCAGATTATCTCCGCCTTTGACAAAGTGAATTGGAAAGTGGACTACTTCCGTCCTCCAGGAGCCCCTGGGGAAGCAGTCTCCGAGAGCCTTGTCTGGGTGTGTCCTTGATGGAGGGAATGGAGGATGCATAGTCCTGAGCAGGGCTTGACAAGATTTGGAGATGGAAGAGCCCATGTAGACCTTTGTCATTTTACTCCAGAGCCGCACTTCTGGACCGAAAGAGCTTCTTAAGACTCTCAAGCCCAAGTTTCCTGACCCCAGATCTGGTGTAAGACCCTGGAAGTCATGCCTTCCCTGACGTGGGTGGAAGGTCCAGTACTGAAAGTGCTTCTAACACTGCTGTGTGTCTTTATGGGAATGGACAGTCTCATCCTTCTCCCCTGCAGAAGCTGATGGTTTTGAAGCCGTGCACTGATTAATAGCACAATACAGCCCATTCCTGGACCCGCGCTTCTAAACGGATCTCCGTACATAAATAAATGCCACCCTGATTGGAGTCCTGATCCGAGCAAGCTGCTGCATACAGGAACCATTACGCTAGGGGAGTCATGAAGACCCATCAATTGTCCTGAACGGGTCCTGAGGTGAGTAAGAGTTGGGATGAGAATTGTACACCATAATCTGTTTGCCCGGTTCATATTCAGCAGGGCAAGTACATCCATACATTCATTTAAAATATTTTTTTTACTTTTTTAATCATTTCATTAGGGGCTCGTATGACTCTCATCACAATCCATAAAGACATCAACTGCAAAGCAAACCCGTACACTCATTGCCCTCGTCATTCCCCAAAATCCATACATTCAGAATGCAATGTAGAATCCACTCACTTCACACAAAAAGTTGACAAGCATGTCTTATGTTACATAAGCTCATTTTGCAAGAAAGAGGTACACATAGGTCAGGCTTTCACCAACAGAAT